CCCCAAGGTAAACTGAGTCAGGAGGAGCCCAGGGAGGAGGAGCCAGCTTAACCAACAAACGCACGCGGACGTTCCCTCTCCACCAGTCAGAGGTGAGAAGTTGGGGGGGGCGGTCAGAGAGAGGAGCGCCCCCTTCTCATTGGTGTGCCCCACCCCTCCCCCGCTCACTTGCACCTGGGGTGAGGGTTGGCCACGAGAATGGCCCCCGGTGCTCTGAGCTTCCCACAGGCAGACTGGGGCTGTGTACCCTCCCCCAGGGTGGAGGGACTGGTCTGCTGGTGGGAAGCCCTGAGCTGGGCCCTGGTGGCTGCAGCTAGGGGTGGGGGTGGGGGTGGGTCAGGGCCATGCACTGGCTTAGCAATACTGCGCCCTGGAGCAGGGGGAAAGTCCAGGGACTGAGCCGGGTCCCTGCAGCCATGCAGGGTTTGGGGGTCCAGGAAGCCTGACCCCGGGGGGTTGGTGTTCAGAATCCAGCTGGCAGTGTGGGGGTGGGAGGGCCCGTTTCTCCCCCCCCCCCCCCTCCCCAGGTTAGCTCAAGGCAGAGCTGGGAGCCTCCCAGCCTGGCACCTTTGTGCCTCTTGCACCATGTGCCTGGGGCACGGGGAGGCCGGACTGTGGCCAAACAGCGGCTTCGGATTGGCAGAAGCGAAGGCCTTTCCTGCCCTCTCAGCCAATAGAATCACGGTATCCTCCAGACGGGGCCCAGCTGCTCCATTACGGACAATCCAGTTTGTCGCGGAAGCTTTTACGCTGTCCCGGGAGAGCTGCCCTTCCGGCCGGCTGAGGCACCGGGCTGGCGTTTGCTCTGGGGCCAGCGAGCAGCTCCCTGGCTCCTCCTGCCTGCCAGGCCAGGGCCGGCTCCTGCACTCAGGCAAACCGCACAGACACCAGCAGCTCCTGGGGGACCAGGTGCCCCGGCCAGCCCCTCCTCCCCCGTTTTCAACGTTTTTATTTCACGGACACGACTAACCAAAGGTCTCTTCTGTACATAGCCGCAGGTGACGTTTCTCTGTGTATAGCCAATCGGAGCAGTGTTGGCATCCACCTGTTTTAACCCCCCTTTAAGATGCCCGGTGAAAAGCCTTACGGTTCTTTTGATGGTGACTCGAAAGCTCACAGCTCGTGTGCTGCAGAATTTATTCCAATGAGCAGCTAAGGTCTCATTTAAAAACAGCCCCCCAATTATTTAGGATGTTTGTGATTGCTGATTGCGCTGTAGATACCACTGTTACCAATGAGTTCCTGTGGTGGGGTAGTGGACTGTTTACTGTTCTATTATTCCAGTCCCCAGGCCCTCCAGAGGGACAGCTCAGCGGCCCCCCTGGATGGTGCTAGGACGCGTGTTCTGTGTTAGAAAGTTTTATATATATATATATAAATATATATATAATTTTTTTTGCTCTGTTACTTGCACATTTTACAGTTACCTCATTTTTCCCATGTATGTATTTGAGAAAAGGCTAATATATAGAGAAAAAGGTTCTTAAAGCTCGAAAAGTGTTTTTTTCCATTCCATTGGACTCATATTGGTTTTGTAGCATTTAACATACCTAGTCTGTTGTATTATATATATGTGTATTATACGGATTGAAATTTTTAACAGATTTGTACTTTTTTTAAAATGAAAGTTGCTAGTTCGGCTTGATCAAGTAGTGCAATCATTATTTTTTTTAATGTTGTGGCTGATTTTGAGAGGGATATTCACTAATAAATGTATGATGTATACCAACGCGCCGTACCCAGCCTCCCTGCCTCTCTCTTCTCGCTGCCTCTGGCCAATGCTGGCCCTAGCCTGTGCTTATGCTAGCCCGGGGCCCTGGCTGTTCACCCTCTTATCATGGGGGTCGGCACCTGCTCCCCCAGCTGCCAATCACATCGTCCACTTCCCAGCACCGAGTCTACACCCAGCACACCAGGCAGCATGACCTGGAGCCTACAGGTCCCAGCATGCAATGCTCTAGCTTCCCTTCTGCACTGCATGCTGGGCCTGCAGCTTCCAGGCACTGCATGGGGGAGGGGGCCGGGTTGCATTGTAGGACAGGGGGGCCTGCATTAGCACAGGGGCAGGAGCCTGCAAGTGAGAGGCACGGCTGGATCCCTGTGACTGATGGGAGCAGGCAGCCAGGCTGGGGCCAGGCCCTGGGAAGGACCCGCTCCACGTCCGGTGATAAATGAGGTTTGCACGAGCAGCTGAAACAGTGTCCTGGGCTCTCTGCCATGCTGTCAGGGGCACCTGGGCTCTGCAGTCCCCTCCCCAGCAGCTTGCTGCAGCAGTAACGAGGAGCCGGTGGGTGGAAATACACCGAAGCTACAGGCTGCTCTGAGCACCAGGTGCAGCTCAGGTACTGCAGGTGAGCACAGCTTCACTCGGGCCGGGCCAGGCCGCAGGGGTGGAAGCCAGTTTGGATTTGTGCCCCCCACTACTCCCTTGGGGAGGCTGTTCTAGAACTTCTCTGATGGTTAGAAACCTTTGTCTAATTTCAAGCCTAAACTTGAGGGTCAGTTTATAGCCGGTTGTTCTTGTGCCAGCATTGGCCCTTAACTCCTCTCCCTCCCTGCTGTATTTATAGAGAGCAATCCTATCTCCACTCAGCCTTTGTTCAGTTAGACCAAGCTCTCTGAGTCTCCTCTTAGAAAGTAGGTTTTCCAGTCCTCAGATCATCCTAGTTGATCTTCTCTGCATCTGTTCCAGTGTGATTTCATCTTTCTTAACAAGGGAGACCAGAACTACACACACTATTCCCAGTGAGGTCTCACCAGTGCCTTGTATTATGGCACTAACACTTCCCTTCTCTCCTGGAAATGCCTCACCTGAGGCATCCTAGGACTGCATTAGCTTTTTTCATGTCTGTATCACAGTGCCAGCTCATAGTCATCCCATCTGATACAGCCCCAGCTTATAGCAAAAATTCTTGTTGCTAGTCTAAGTGCATGACCTTACACTGTGCACTATTACATTTCATCCCATTTTTATTATACCCAGCAGCCACATCTTGTCTGCTAGTCCTGTCCTCTTCCAGATTGGCACTAGCTCCCAGCTGTGTCATCTGCAAATTTTATTACAACCCTCCCACTTTGTGCCACGGTCATTAATGAAAATGTTGTTGAAGATTGGCCCCAAGACAGCTCCCTGTGGAACTTTAACAACCTCCCTCCAGCCTGACTGTTCACCTGTCAGTATGGCTCAGTGTAGTCTCCACTTCCTGTGGGCTGGCACTTCCTCCCTGGCTGCTCCCAGACAGGAAGTCAGCTACCCCTTCAGAGAGGTCAGCTAGCGTACCCCCACGTGCAGCTTCCACTATCAGTCCAGCCCAGGGTCCTGTCTGAGAACAGTGAGATGTCCTCTCCAGGCTGAGCCAAAGCTCCAAGGGGCATAGCCCCCCATTGCCGGCTGGTCACAGCAGGCGCCAAGATGGGATCTGGCAGCTGCTGGAGATGCACAGGGGCTATCAACTGCACCTGCCGGCTGGCAGCATCCTGTTGTGAAATGCTACAGGTTGGCTCTCCAAGGTGAGCGAGCACAGGCCTGCTGCAGGTGGGCTTTCAGTGCAGGGATTACAGAGTCCCTGAGCTCCGCGCCCCAGCGGCAGTAACTCTTCCTTTAATCCTGGCTGCACACTTGAGTAACAAGGGAATGAAGATGGGTGTGAGGTGACCTGCCTGGAATCTCATGCTGGCAGGGGAGTTGGGAGTCAGGCAGGACAAAGCAGCCCTGGGGGGAGGGAGGGATCTGTGGTTGATACCCAGCGATAGTACCTGGGGCTGTAAAGACCCAGGGCAGCACTTCTTCAGTAGAGTTCTTCAGTTAAGAAGGCCCGGAGCGCTGTTCCCACTCTGTCAGCAAAAAAGGCCAGTAAAGATGCAAGAGTATTTTCAGGCAGCCTGGCTGAGCCGCAGCCAAAGAAAGGGGACCAATAAATTCCCTTGCAGGTCTGCTGCCTTCATAGTTCCTGGTACCTGGGTCCTTCCAGGGGAAAGTAACAGACTCTCAGCAGTGGGCTGGTCAAGGGAGCGGGAACTCAGCCAGACATACCTACAATCAACAGGACAAATGGGTTAGGCTTCCTTCAAAGGACTAATTAACGTTCCTTTGCTCTGCTCTTAACCTTCTGTGGAACTCAAAGCCCTTTTGGGAAAGGGGTAACAGCCAACATGAGGAAGGTAAGTTGCAGTTGTAATGACTCTGGTTAGCACCTGTGTAACAGAAACACTCCTGCCTGTTTCTCATCACACCAGAGACCTCAAGGTCACCTCCCTCCCTCAGTCCACAACTCCCCCATGCAGACGCACGGCAGCATAATGGGAAGGGGGGGAATTCTGCATCCTGACTCAGGAGCCAGCTCAGAGACCTCAATAACAGTGACAAACCAACCCTCTTTCTTGTGCAGCCCAGTGCTAGCTGGAAGGAGGCTGCAGCCCAGGAAGGCGCTTGAGTGGCTCTACTTCTCTAGGGCTGGTATGATGCAGGAACGATTCCCCACACCACGCAAGCGCAGGCACTAGCAGAGCTGGCAGTGTTGTCTTTCTGCACTGGACAACTCCACGAATAGCATCTGGCCAGCCCTAGTTAGTCAGTCCCGACTCTCACTCCTAGGCAAACCCTATGAAGTTTTGGACAGCCAGCGAAGTGAAGGCAGCCTGCCTTCCCCTGCCCCCCGAGGGAGAGCACTTGCACTTCATAGGGCCCCACTCAGCAGGAGTTCCTAGATTGCCTCATCTCCTAAGAGCATTAGCCATTTTTATACGTTAGTAGCTGCTGAGTTTTGCAATTCTACTGGACATGACACAGGCAGTGGCTGCTCCACAGCGACTGGAGCCAAGAAGGCTGAATTAAGACAAGTACAGAGCCAGATTAACCTTGCAACACAGAGTGAAAACCAGATTCATTCCAGGTGGGTGCAGGTTGGTCATTAGAACCAGCTCAGAGTGCCCCCCACGCTCTGCGGCTGGAATGGGAGCCGCCTACGTGGAGAGGAAAGCACTGACACCAGAAGCATTAGCACAGGCACGCTAGAGGCAGAGTTTATTACACTACGCAGGCTAAGAACCCTGGGCAAGATCCCATGGCGTTAAGAACTTCAACCAGCTCTTTATCAAAAAATTAATACCATTGTCAACTCCAGTCTCCTTTGGTCATTACAAAGCAAGAGAACTAGTAAAAGGAAGGTTTTTATACACAGTGGGAAGCTGAAGAAATTCTGTCCATCCCTCCCCTCCCCAGCACAGGTGCAGTGTCCTTTGGCCACCAGGAGCAGCAAAGTATCAAATCTTCACAGGACGGCAGGCCTTGGGGGTCTAGTAAAAGTAATATTGACCGAGAGCTGCCTTTTCTGCCCTTCCCTGGGGAGGGCAATGGTGGCCCCCCTCCCTCTCTGCCCTCAAGTGTAAGGGGATGACTGTGCGTGGGAGTAGGTGAGCTTTCTCGCGCCAGCGCAGACACACAGCATGGCTGGCACGGGTGACGTGGTCTCTGATCCCTCATTTGTACGCAGCAGTCTTTAAAAAAAATATTGTATTATAATCTGAATTTTTCCTTCCATCGTGTTTTGGAAAAGTGTCAATCGTCCGTGAGGTCCTGAACAAAGAGAACTTCCGTGTGGCTGAGTCCAGCCTCCTGCAGCGTGGGGGGGTTGGGCCACTCCTCTGTAGGGAGGCAGGGCAGGACACGGCGAGGGAAGTTGGCCTCAATCTGGAACTTCTCTGGGCTCTCTTTCAAGGAGAACAGGAAGTCATGGATCACCTGGAAGGGAAGCACAGAGGCATTTGCCAATGGAAAAGCAGCATGCAGTAATTCTCAAGTACTCAAACGCCCAGCTGGTGTGGGGGCCAGACCTCTAGTCTCTTAGCGGTCGGAGCGTTTAGTTTGTCAAACACTAAAGACAACCTGAACCCTGCACGAAGACACAGAACCAGACTGCCCACTAGGGACAGCTGTTTTTCAAGTCCCTGCTTGAGGCATGCCAGAGGCTGGTCTCTGTGCTCCTAGGAACTCCAGAGCAGACCCACGGCCTGAGAAGCAGCAGGAAGCCCACGTTTAGGAGGGGATAAGCAGTATTTCAGCTTGACATCTGGTCTTTCCCTCCCCCTCATGCAAGCACATCACCTCTGCCTACTGAGGCTGTAGCAAGGGTGAGAGCGTGGCCACCCCCAGCCTGTCCAGCCAGCTTAAGAATTTGGGATTCTGCTGCTGCTCCAGACATCCCTCGCCTTCCACTCCTGACTCCCCTCACCGTTAATGACTGTGAGAAATGGAATCGCCTCTCCACTCTGGAATCGTTGGGCAGCTTGAAAATGATCTTCACACTCTCTGGGTCATCAGGGTGCGGCTCTGGTGGAAGGCATTCCGATTTGCGCACCTTCTCCTCCTGCAGAGTCTGAAAAGCAACCAAGAAGATCAGAGCACCAGGCTGGCATGGAGCTGGCCTCAATGCCAAGGCATAGCGTGTCCTGCACAGGAGAGGACGCGCCCCAGGAAACCCCCGAGAAGGACGTACGAGGCAGATGCAGGATTATATGAACTCGGCGCCTGATTGGAAACCAGTGGGCAGGCCGACCAGGAAGGGAGGAAGCCCCAGAGTGGGAAACTAGCAGGAAGCAGCAGCAAGAGAGCTTGGAGCCAGTGTTACTGCTGTGCTTCCCAGGAACACTTCCGTCTCACCTGGCGCCGCCTCTCCTCCGCTAGCTTCTGCTGGTGCACCTCTTCTTCCTTCCTCTTCTTCCTCTCCCGTTCCTCCTTTTTCTTGCGCTCCTTTTCCTGATCCGCCCGCAGGGAAGCCAGGTAGGCCTCATCCTGCTGCTGCCGCAGGACCTGTGTTTGGTTTCTCTCCTCCCTGCAAACGTCAGGGAACGAGGGGTGGTTAATATCAACACACCCAGAAACATAGGCAGGGCAGGGCAAGAGGAAGACAATAGCCTTCACAGCACTAACACCTTCCCAAAGGAGGAGCACACAGACGCTGCAGAAGGAACCCGAGTCCTTGGGGCACCTTAGAGACTAACATTTATTTGAGCATTAGTCTCTAAGGTGCCCCAAGGACTCCTGTTCTTTTTGCGGATACAGACTAACCCGGCTGATGCTGCTCTGAAACAATGCAGGTTTCCCGCTCCTGAAGGGGGCTGGGCTCTCTATGGTGACTAGTCCCTGGCATAGATGGCCTCGATTTCAGGCTGAGGATAAATGCACAAACGAGGGCTGTAGTGTGGGCAGGTGCCATGCACACTGCACCCATCTGCTGCAGCTAGTGAGTCCCATGTTTCTTTAGCCCGTTCCTGACTCCCTTTAGAAACCCACAGGTCTGCCCATCAGCAAGGCACACTCTCTGACTGGGGAGCAGGAAGGATTAAGGGACTGAGACACGGAGCTGGCGTCCTATCGGCTCTCAGTCTGAATGGAGCCCACATCAATACCTGGAGGGGACATGTGTCAATGAGGCGGCAGCAGGACATCACAAATGCAGCCTTAACTCAGCAGCACAGCCACCCGGGGCCGGCGACTCCCATACAAGACTGGCTGAAGGTATCAGCATGACTCTGGCCGAAATGCCTGGAGCCCAGTTACGCTCTTAGCCACAGTCAGAGAGTCCAGCAACATCCAGACTTTGCCTGAAAGGTGCCAGCCGCTCCAGACTGCCCCAAACCTCCAGAAAAATGGAGCAGATTGTGGTTACTCATCTTGGAGCAGGAATGTTGCCCAGGGAGACCTCAATTCCCAGAATGCAGTGTAGTCTGAATGTACACATCAGGGCGGTGCACCGCATGCACCAGCATTTCCACTGGCCACTGAATGCATTGCAGAACCAAGTGCAGCACACTCACAGCCCCCCTCAATTAGATCTGACCCACTCCATGGGAATTCCCAACTCCATGAGATAAGTATTACTGGGGCTTCCAGTTCCCAGCCTGGTACCTTTCCAGGCGCTCAGACACCAAGTACGTCTGATTGGCATCCATGATGAATGTCAGCTGGTTAATGAGGTCATCAGGCTGGATGAGGCCTTCTAGTCGTCCCACCACCGTCATTCTGCGATCTTTCAACATAATCATGGCGAGGAATGGGTATGTGTTCTCACGCAGAGCCTGGGACACTGGGAGATGGGCGCAGAAACCACCGTCACTACTGGCTGTCCCAACAGAGAGGCCAAGGGGTCATAAGACTAGAATTGCCTCCCTCCCCAAGCCTCTAGAGGTGGGCAGCTCCTGCGGTCCCGCCAGTCCCTTTGCTGGGCATAGAGACACAGCTTCAGACTCCATGGCTGCCAACCCACTAGTCCGCTCCCTTTTTAGGGGACAACCAAGACATCTGTCAGAGGTGTTCTTCCTGAGACAGTGACACCTCCAAGAGCTCAGTAGCCTGGCAGTCCCGGGTTCAAATCGTGGACCCAGCTGCTCACTCTGTGGGCCACGAAGGATCTAAACTACCACACAACCCCCTTTTGCAGTCTTGGGAAGAGGGCACACATTGTTCAGCACAACCCCCACCAGGCACTCGTAGGACAGGCATCACGGGCTCGGAAAGGATTTAGTGGCATGCTGCAAAGCCTAGTGTGGACTAGTAGGTGGACATTCTTGCCCCACATCCAGTCCTAAGAAGGCCCCTGAGATCTGAGGGGGCGGGAAAAACCCAAGGAATCACCTGTGGCCATTTTGTCTCCAGGCACAACACAAACCACTATCATTCGGCACCTGCTTCCCCACTCAGCCTAACGCCCCTATGACAAGGCCACTGAAGGAAGCCAGCATGCCGACTGCAAAGGAACAACAGCTAACTCTGCTGAGACATGACTGTGAAACAGCCAGTACACCTCTACCCCGATAGAACACAAATTCGGATAGAACGTGGTAAAGCAGTGCTCCGGGGGGGCGGGGCGGCGCACTCCGGCGGATCAAAGCAAGTTCAATACAACGTGGTTTCACCTATAACACGGTAAGATTTTTTGCCTCCCGAGGACAGCGTTATATCGGGGTAGAGGTGTATTAAGAGCAGAGGGCTCCTTGGGCTGCAATATTAGTCTCAGATATGGTATGTCCTCGGTTATGCGGAACATGGTCTGGAGTAGCCCCATTCCACTCGGTGTAGTAAGGGATCACAGGCTGGTCTCTGGGGCCTATCACTTACTCACCTGCACAGGGAAATGATCAAGCCTGCAGAACAGACGCACATTGTCTGCAATCCCAATCTGTTTAGTGCAGATTTAACAAGAACCAGGAAGAGTTCAGCAGGGGGACACTCACCTCTGTATCCCTCTGGTTTGTTTGTGGAGCATGCCCAGAAAAGCATCCTAGTGTTGATGAGGGTGATCACCTCCGGGGCACACAGAGTGTTGCTGGAGGAAGAGAAGAGATGGCAGACATAGAGCTGGGTCCCAAACACATGGCCAGTTATTTAAGAAAACGCTCTCCAACCTACCGACAGAATTCGTCTGAATCTTGGTGGTCGTCACCGTGAAGATAAACCAACAGGAAGCGCAGCTCCCGCTTAGCGTCATTCAGCGCCTGGGGAGAGAGCACAGAAAAGCTGGAGTGGGAGGGGCCTGCTGCCCCTTTGGTATTAGGGTGGGATAGGCCAGGGGAAGCAGTTTTTCAATCTAATGTGGTATTAATTGAAGAACTTGCCAGACCTCCCTCCACACCCATGTGCCCAGTGAATTCTCTGCCTGCAGGAGAAAGGAACCCTTGACTGGGCTTTCCTCACTGTTCCTTGGCAGGCAGGGCCTTGGGAGAATGGCAGGCAAAGCACTGCACACCTAGTGACCCAGAAGGGTTTCTCTGGCTCAGCCTGCAGGACTCCCATGGCCCAGAATCGGGCAGTTTTTGGCTCCATTTTCCAATGTGGATGATGTAGGATCCAACCTTCCGACCACATCCATTGAAACTCGTTATTAAGCTGATCTCTGTAACCCCCACTTCTCAGCTGAAACACGTCACTCCGCAAGCCTCTGCTGAACTGGCACTGAGCTGCTGATAGATCACCATAGGGCTGCTGGGCTAAGTTTGGGTTCTAAGTATGGCCCCTTGTTCCTGGGGGCAGGGACTGCTGGAGGGAATGACCTCAGCCCTTGAGTAGAGCTAAGGGATATAGGCTCAGCAGTGCTCTCTGGCACTCAGCCACCTGCTGGGATGGACTCCACAACAGAGGAGTGTGTGCGCATTGGGGCTGGGACTGGAAGGGGGGGGGGCAGAGACAGACACATGTTAGGGAGCCCCTCTTCTTCTGGGAAGAATCATCACCCCAATCCAACAAAAGAGGGATCTATTCTCTCCTTTTACTTCCTGGACTCAAAGGGGCCATTTCCCCAAGTTTCTGAAGTTATTGGGCTAAATTCTGCTCATACTTGCACCGTGGCGCAGCCCCGGTCACTTCCAATGGGGTGTACATCAGGACAGACTTTGGGCCACTACGTCAGCTTATAAAACTGATACTAGCAGAACAAAAGAAGAGGTATGGGTTTCTGAACCACAGAGACTGCTGAGAAACTGCCAGATCAGCTTTGCCTTCCCAGCTTCAATTGTTTGGCACGTCCCTGAGACTGGCGGAGACCCCACCATGGCAAGTGCCTACAGTGGGTTGGACTCGGGTTCCTAATAGGCTCATAATTGAGATCTCCATTACCTCGTTACTGAGTCTGAACATTAGTACTGGACTTTTAAAATGCAAAATGGTTTTTGTCATTCCTCTTTAGAGCCAGTGTGCCAGGCAATACCAGCAAGATAGTCCCACATACCTTTGCACCAACATGCCCTACTGACCTGGCTGTATGTTCCCTGGTAGAAGACAGGGTGTATCCTCCCATATTTTTCCTCAAACATATGAATAAACGAAACAATGTCACCCACTGGGTCCGTGACCCTACTGCGAGGGTCAGGGCGTATAAAACGCACGGCAAACCTAGGCAAAAAGCAAAGGACACTGGAAATTCAGCTTACTGACTTTCTGAAGAACTTTTTCTGGTCAACATTTACAGCTAACACACTGACTACTCCATCTTGAGCACCCTAGAGAAAAACCTAAGCCAGGTAAAGTTCCGTGCTCCAAAGCATCAGCTGATTGCCAGAGGTTATGATGGATTTCCTCACCTGCACTCCCTCCATGAACAGCGCTGCATAAAGGCCAGGTGTATTGTGTGTGTGTGTAAGGTTCAACATCCTCTGAAACACCAGGCATAAGCCACAGCCAGAGACAAGATACCAGATTTAAGGGCTCACTGGTCTTATATTGGCTGGCAATTCACAGGAAGTCGATCAGGCCAAGTCTCTTCCAGAACTGCAGTTCTGTTGCACAGAGGGTTTAACGCACGACTGTTTATTTTAGGCAGCTGCTGGAAGAGGAGATTACACCAGGGAGCAAATAATTACAGCCTGTTGTCTGTGTCTTGGCTCTTTAGACTGTAAGCTCGGAGGCCGGGACTGTGTTACCCTACATGCTTGTTCCCGAGGGGAACCTTTGGGCACTGCCTCAATAGATAGAAGTGTGCCCATTCCTTGTTTGGTCTCCATTGCTTAATATTTAGGAACTGCAAGTGTCAGCCTGATTTCAAGTTAGGATTAAATACATTAGTTTCCTTTACAGATTCAGAAGACACTGCTAGGAATAGAATCAAATCGTAGGGCTGGAAGGGACCTCAAGAGTTCATCACGTCCTGCCTCAGCACAGCGGCTGGGCCATCCCTGACAAAGAGTTTTTCCAACCTGTTCTTAAAAATCTCCATCGCCTATTCCAGAGCTTAACTACCCTTAGAGTTAGAAAGATTTTCCTAGTTTCTAACCTAAAACTTCCTTGCTGCAGATTTAGCCCAATACTTGTGGTCCTACCTTCAGTGGACATGGAGAGCAACTGATCATCGTCCTATTTAGAAGAGCCTTTCACATATTTGCTCTTCTTTTCTCAAGTGTAAACAGGCCGTTTTTTTAAACCTTTCCACATAGGGCAGGTTTTCTAAACCTTTTATCATTTCTGTTGCTCTCCTCTAGACTAGCTCCAGTTTGTCCACATCTTTCCTAAAGTGTGGCACCCAGCACTGGGTACAGCACTCCAGCTGAGGCCTCACCAGTGCGGAGTAGAGCGGGACAGTTACCTCCTTTGTCTTCCATATGACATTTCTGTGAATACACCCCAGAATGACAACTTTTTTCACAGCTGCCTCACACAGTTGACTCATATTCAACTTGTGATCCACTATAACCCCAGGTTCTTTTCAGCAACACCACCATCTAGGCATTATTCCTCATTTTGTAGTTGTGCATTTGATTTTTCCTTCCTAAGTAAAGTACTTTGCACTTATCTTTCCTGAATTTCATCTTGCTGAATTCAGACCAATTCTCCAATTTGTCAAGGTCATTTTCAACTCTAATCCTGTCCTCCTAAGTGCCTGAAACCCCTCCCAGCATATTGTCATCTGCACATTTTATAAGCATACTCTCCCACTCAGTTATCCAAAACATTAATGAAAATACTGAATAATATTGGATCCAGGACTGACCCCTGTGGGATCCAACTAGGTAATCGCTCCTAGTTTGATAGCGAACCCTTGTTAACTACTCTGAGTACAGTCTTTCAACCAGTTGTGCACCCACCTTATACTAATTTAATCTAGAGACATTTCCCAAGTTTGCTTATGAGAGTGTCACGTGGGACTGTGTCAAAAGCTTTAGTAGCTATGATATATCTTGATTTTAATGTTTCCCCCCCATCCACTAAGCCAGTAACCCTGCCAAAGGAAGAAATCAGGGTGATTTGGCATGCTGGCTATTCCTTATAACCCTGTTATCCTCTAGGTGCTCACAAAATGATTGTTTCAGAATTTGTTCCAGTATCTTTCCAGGTATTGAAGTTAGGCTGACTGGTCTATAATTCCCTGGGTCCTCTTTGTTCCCCCTTCTCTAGTCCTCTGCGACCTCACCCATGCTCCGTGAGTTCTTGGAGATAATTCTTCTCTGAAATCTACTTTCTACTATACAACATTCATTTGTTACTAACTTCTATGTTCTAGGTCTCCAAGACACAGAAACCAGACAACGCTACAGAGAACTTTGAAGTGTGAGTATTTGCTTAATACAAACCCTGATGGTCTTATTAGATTTAACACCAAAAGCAGCACAGCCATACTTGGAGTTAGATTTTGCTTTGCTACAATCAATAAACAACCTGCACAAAAAAGTACTTACCTAAATATATCAAGTAATGTGTAATAGGTAAATCGGAATGGAAGCATTATCAAGTAGTAACCCCATCCCAACAGGCCCTGAAATTACAAACAAAGTGTTAGGTATTTATCCCTGCCCCATGAGACACAGTAGTGCAGATAACCCTCTATCCAGCATCAAACACGCTGCAATATATGTGAAACAGGCAGTGTGGTCTAGTGCTCTGATCTCAGGCCTGTAAGCTAGTGACTTGCTGGATGACCTCAGGCAAGCCAAATCTTCTGAGTAGTCACCAACAGGTGCCTCACTTTGAGAGCCCAACCTGAGACATTTTAGGCACCCAAAGCCAGTGACCACTTTTCAAAAGTTGGGCTTTAATCTTCCATCTCACTTTCCCTACCTGTGAAATAAGGATAACAGCACTTACTCATCTTACAGGGGTTCTGTGAAGACTGAAGTGTTATACAAGTGCTACATATTAACCATCTGCAGTCAGGTTAATTGACATCTTATACTAGCACACATAAAGCAGACCACATCAGTTCAGCAGGCTGTCATACAAATAGATGGTTCTACAGCAAGAGAGCATTCTAGCTGAATTGGGACAACTGAATTGGAATTCTGCTCTGCCCTCACTCCAAGCTATATGGGCAGGAAGGAGTTTGTTGTGTACTAGTGATAAATACCAGAAAGGAAAACATCCAAAGTAGTAATGGAGAGGGTAAGAACAGTTCTGCCCAGGGAGCTGCACTGTTTGTAGCTTTCAGGAGAAAATATTTAGAAACAAGAAAGCAGATCTGCTAAGGAAACGGAGTTCCTTTCCCTGTTGATGGATTTCTTTCCTTCTTCAGAGATATCACCCATTCCACACAACGAGACAAACCCAAACTAGTAAATAACTTGCCCTTGGTTGTGGCCTTGAAACAACATAGCTGTAGATCCTGTGGTCGGCTGTATTGACCTGCAGCGGCCGGGATGGAGGTGGATTGAAGACACTTGGGACACCCTCTTGCTCATTCAACCGGTCCTGTACAGCTGCCTATCATAGGAGGAGCAGCAAAAGGAACCCATCAAAAGTTGCAATGGATACGTGCAGGTTAGAGAAAATACACTGGTTCCATTCTGAAGTTTGTGGTAGGTGTTAGTTGTCTCTATGCCTAGAGCACTGGACACGTGCAACTTAACACATCAAAATAAAGTAACTGCTGCCAATTTCCAGACTAGGTGTTTCCAAGGGGTCTCGCATTTGTACAACACTGAGCTTACATGGTGCTGTACAGTTGGAGAGCTGTGCCAAACAAGCAATCTGTTCATAGTCCTACCTCCCAGTCTAGGGGCTCAAAGCGGTAGTATAGGAAAAAATGCAGGCACATGGCAGGAGGTCATCAGTGGAATGTTAGGCGCCATTAGGAAAGGGATAGATTAAGAGAGAAAATATCATAATGCCATTATATAAATCCATGGTTCACCCGCACTTGAATACTGAATGCAGTTCTAGTCATTCCTTTAAAAAAGGGATATCCTGGATTTGGAAAAAGGGCACCTAAAGTGATTAGGGGGATGGAACAGATTCCACGTGAGGAGAGATTAGAAAGACTGGGCCTGTTCATCTTAGAAAAGAGACGACTAAAGGAGAATATGACAGAGGTCTATAAAATCATGACTGGTGTGGAGAAAGTGACTAGGAAAGTGTTATTTACCCCTTCCCATAACACAAGAACCAGGGGTCACCCAAAGAAATTAATAGGCAGACTGTTTAAACCAAATAGAATGAAGTACTTCTTTACACAACGCACACTTAGCCCGTGGACCTCGTTTTCAGGGGATGTTGTGAAGGCCAGAAGTATAACTGGGTTCCTAAAAGAACTAGATCAGTTCATGGAGGACAGGTCCATCAATGGCTATCAGCCAAGATGGTCAGGAATGCAACCCCCTGCTCTGGGAATCCCTAAGCCTCTGACTGCCAGAAGCAGGGACTGGATGACAGGGGTGAATCACATGATAATCGCCCTGTTCTGTTCATCCCCTCCGAAGCATTCGGCAACGGCCACTGTCAGAGACAGGATACTGGGCTAGATGGACCATTGGTCTGACCCAGTGTGGCCGTTCTTGTGTGTCATGATCTAAGTGGGTGTTAAGAATGTTTTAAAAGGCGTGACAGAACTGCATGCATGTTGCCTGGAAGGCTTGTAGAGGTGTAGGGGACTGCATGGTTGAAGACGCTAAGACTTAAGAGTGGTTTAGAGGGGTGCTTGTAAAGTGTGCAAGAGGAGTAGAGGTAAATGGGAGCAGAGCCACAGAAGAGGTCAGTACAGAGATTCAATATGGCAAAAAAAAAAAAAAAAAAAAACCCCAAATTTTGGCAGCTTCATTCTAAATGGATTGAAGTGGTAACAATAATGAGCAGTTTTACAGCAAGTGTGATTGGGCTGAATTCAGTTCATAGCTATTGTGAAGTGGGAATTTTGGTAATATTTTTCTGATTCCACTCTGGGCCTCAGTGTCCCTCTGTGCTTTGCACTGCTATGCACGGAGTGTGAAGGGTTAAAAAGCTCTTGGAGGAGAGCAGGGGGACATGAGGTGAGTGCCTCACACACCTGTCTGAGTGTTGAAGGACTGGCTGAAACCAACCCATAGCAATAGAGCATGTGGAAAGACAATGGAAACCCCAATCACTAGCACGTTCACTGCTAGCAACCAGCAGCCACGAGGAAAGAGATTTCCCCCAACCCCTCGGCAGAAGAGCAGAGCAAAGGCCCCAGGTGGAGAACAGAGGGGAAAGGTGTCATGTGGCTGGGTTAAGAGCTGGCCTTTGGAGTGACACTCACCTGGCTGGGACCAAGGACAAAGGGACAGAGACAGGAAGAAAGAGCTTCGATAGCAGCATTGCTGAAGTGGCCAGGTTGAGCTTTCTCTTAACCTTTGCCTCTCTTTGCTAGCTTAAGGACTTTCCGATGCTGTACGCCAGGTGACTGTGTGGAAAAGGTCACCTGGGTAGTTGCAAATACTCACTGAGAGTATTGCACCCTGAAGGGGTACAGTACAAGCCTCCCACAGGAGTCTGGCTGGGCTGGATTCGCTGCAGGGAGCCATGAAGACAGACAGAGATCGCTGATGCCTGAAGGACCAGTTTTGGAATCCATGGGCCTGCCCCCGTGGAATCACGTGGGTTCTTGGGGGCTGGCATACTAAAGTGGTCACTTCCAAGGGACTGGGTACAGGCTGGGGCATAGACCAGACCCTGGGGTCGGTGACAGCTTCCATCATGTTTCCCAACATTAGCAAGGTCTGAATGCATCCACTAGGGACGTGTTTTCCGATTTACACTTGGAGATCAAGAAAAAAGGAATACGAGATAAAGAACTGCAATTTAGAGAGTGGAGGGTACACTCAGTTCAATGCACAACTCAATATGAATGGAAATTGTGAACAACCACAATTAAATGAGACCACCTAAGATTCTTAACAATAAGCAACGGAATAAAGCTTGCTGGGGTGGGGCTGATCAGGAGCTTGGAGATTACTTTTGACGTGTAAGCACGATGGTTTTATAATATGACCTTGATTATAATTACTCATGTCACTACAAGGATCCTTTAAGAAAGAAAATTCTACTTTGAGAGACCCACAGTCATTCAGACTCGTCATCTAAGTTGCTGGAAAGAAAAAAGTGCCTCAACTATAATTCTAACTGGTACCTCTATGTTCCAGTTGTGTTGCTCCAGGGTGTCACGACACTGGTCCATAGACTCTATGCCAGTCAAGTCCTGGTGAAGGAAGGAAAAAAACAAAGGATGAGTGCTAAGGAAGTGTAATATTTCTATAGTTCATTGCTGTATTTGAACAGAGGCGTGTAACCATAACCAGCCCCTTTCGTTTAAAAAGTTTCCCCTCCCAATTCAGCACTGATTGCTTCCGGCAGTTGCTCATGAAAATCATGCAACTTTTGTAGGTATTCTTATTTCTTCTGTGAAATGCTGAATGTCAGCAATCCTCTCAGACAGGACTTTACATTCTCCCACTACTAAGCGATCCCCAGCACTTCTGCAAGTTAGGTAAGTATCTTACCCATTACCAGCTTCTAGGCAGACTGAGCAATTCAATCCGCCTTACTGCCTCGGAGCCTTCCCCTCCACTCTAGAAGGAATGGGAGTTTGGGGGAGACAAGGCCCTGCACCCCCGGCTTCCTGCGATTCACCGTGACTCTCAGCCAGGCAGTAGAACAGAAGGTTTATTAGACGACAGGAACACAGTCCAAACCAGAGCTTGTAGGCATAAACAGGACCCCTTAGTCAGGTCCTTCTGGGGGGTAAGGATCTTAGACCCCAGCCTTGGGGTTCCCTCCAATTCCCCAGCCAGCCCCAACCTGAAACTCTCCAGCTCCTCCTCCCCCCTTGTCCCTTTCCCGGGCCAGAAGGTCACCTAATCTCTTTGTTCTCCAATACCTTCAGCTAGCACCATTGTAGAGGAGGGGCCCAGGCCATTAGTTGCCAGGAGACAGAGTGTTGGCCATTCTCTCTCCAGACAGCATCACATCTGCCCTCTAGGGCTCTGCAACAATCACACCCGCTTCTCCCACCACCTAGATACTTGAGAACTGCATAGGGGAAACTGAGGCACCCACACAGTATTCAGAGAAAACATTATGAACATTCCCACTTCATCACAGAGGCTACTCCTAAAAATAAATACACACAAAGGTCACCCCCGCCCCCCTAGCTCCTGCCTAGCAGGGAGTGAGGGAAGCCATTGGCAAGCCTTCCAGCCCGTTATTTCAGCCACAATTCATTGCAACTGTAAAGCGATTAATAGAATCATAGAATATCAGGATTGGAAGGGATCTCAGGAGGTCATCTAGTCCAACCCCCTGCTCAAAGCAGGACCAATCCCCAGACAGATTTTTGCCCCAGATCCCTAAATGGCTCCCTCAAGGATTGAGCTCCCAAGCCTGGGTTTAGCAGACCAATGCTCAAAGCACTGAGCTATCCCTCCCCCTTCAGGTGAAATGAGTGATATTATTGAAGATATAGCATTGTTCAGCTTTGCACTATATGCTGTCGTGTACGTCATCCAGTTTATACAGATACAGCACTCTGAACATATTACAGGTCTGTCTCGTCTTACGCTGGGGTTACGTTCCACAGTCAGCGCGTAAAGCGAAAATCGCGTATCGTCAAAATTACATTGCGTGTAATGGCGGACGGAATCGCCCGCACTACAGGAACAGTATTTAAATTGCTATTTTTCTCTTTTGTTTTTGCTGACCACGTAAAGCTGAATTCGCGCATGTTAAAAGTGCGTAAGATGCGACAGACCTCTACAATGTGATCTGAAACTCAGTACTTGTGCAAAAAAGACCCAACCACCACCTACAGACCTCACAGCAACTGGGGCTCTCAGTACTCATTCAACAGCAGGTAAGCACAATTTAAATCCTTGCTAATCAAAACTTCTGCACAAGAAGTCACATGGACGTGGGCATCTGATATTATAAGATAGCAAGCTGACATAACTTTTGAATGAGGACAAAAATCTTTGGTTAAAATGAACATTCCTGTCACCATGCTGGAGAAATAAATCTCTCCCCACACCACCCACTAAAAACCTCCTCTAAAATACATAGTAAAGTTTTATTTTGTGTGTGTCCATCACCATGGTATCTGACCACATATACAGATTTATGGAAAGCCATGCTGCTGTTAGCCCTGTAGAAGCAACTACTTGAAGCAGTCCGTGAAAGTTAGGCACAGTATGGGAGACGACATTAAGTGATGTTGGCGCACAAACTTAAAAGTAAATAAAAGAAAGCCCCATTGGCTTCTGCTCTATTAAAAAACAAACCAGTAGGAAAATCCTGTTCCGGTTGGTAAACTGGAAGCCCCTGGGGAGAGCTTATATTTGTAGTAGTAATGTTATGGGGAGGTGAGTGGCAAGGGAAGACACGATTCATTTTAGTTGTTGCGCCTTCCAATGCGCACTGACCCTTTTAAGCCAGAGTCCATTGTTTCCCGTTCTGCCTCATTTCTTGTACCAACTCCCTCAGCAAGATCTCTCGTAAGGCCAAGCTTTATTAAGATTAAGTAGCTCATGTTCTGGACTGACTCACTGTCTGCACAGACTGTTTCAGTTTCTTTCCTATCACAGTGGCTTGAAAGATTTAGTGGACATCTAGCTTTGGGATTAAACCTGATGGCCGGAGATAGATTTAAATTTTTTATTAAAGCTAATGTTAAAAAATTATATAGTACACAAGTTAAGAAAAGGGTGTCTGTACATCTGGGTATAGTGCTTAGACTATCCACAAATACAAAGTTTGTTTTAAAAGTAATAAGATACATATAGTGCATAATCAGCAATAACCCAAATGTAGGTGAATAAATATAACAATACAGTTTAGATATTAGAATCCGAATACTCAGGTACATCACTCATGAAAAATTGTACAGAGAGTTGGTTGTGGAAAGCAAAATATATCAATAGGTTAAGCCTACACGGTCAGGGAGGTCCCGGGAAAACACACTGGTGAAAAGCCCAGGCTCTTCATTCCTACCCCAAGCTGCTGAGGTATCGTGGGTGCTGGGATATCTAATAAGGGGCTGTCAGGTGTCTGAAATTTGAAGGTGCCCTATAGCATAGAGGATATGGCTGCTTGGTGCTACAGCTCCTAATACCTAAACTGCACATTACTCATCACAGATGAAGTCCTCTGAGGTACGGAGGATCTGTTAGTTAGCCAAATGCAACAAGCATCGTGTCTACCACTTGGACTCCCAGTTCTGTAAAATAGCGAGACAAGCTCTCACTAAGTCAGTTCTCATTCAGTACTTGAGAATATTTTGGGTTAAGTTCGGTTTCCTATTTTAATTTTGAGCCTTACAGAAACTTGGCAAGATCCAACCTGCCCCACAAGATGGGTTTGCTTTACTGCAAGAGACAGCATGCTCTGGCTGTGAAGGTGGAGTGGTAATCTGATATAAATTCCTTTGGGCAGTCTCCAATTATAGCCATCCATTTTCTACATCTGTGCACCTTTCATTCCAGTCCACTTTTGCTATTCCTGTTTAATTTTGCTTGCTACCTCCCCAAGTTACTTGGCTCTTTTAGAACAGATATCCAGGTCCTCTCAAAAACATTTGGCTGTCCACATGAGAATGTTTTGAGGATCAAGGGACTTCAGTTGCCTTACTGAAGATGGATGGCTCATCTGTTTTAGGAACCTGAGATTTTTCTCCCCACACAAACATGTTGGATTCTCCCTCAACTGTTAATTCACCTTGTAAACAAGAGCAGTGCTTGAGATTTAGCACTTGGACTAAATCAGGATTCTGTTGCTCCCGAGCACCCTATGTCCATCTACTCTTTGCCACAGCTACAAGACTGGACCTTTTCTCATTAGCCTGACACCACTCAGTGACAGTGTACATACAAAAATACAAAATTACGTCAACCCAGCTAAGGGTATGTCTACACTACCTGCCGGATCGGCGGGCAGCGATCAATCTATCGCTCTCCCGTCAACTCCTGTACTCCAGCACCGCGAGAGGCGCAGGCAGAGTCAATGGGGGAGCAGCTGCAGCAGTCTCACCGCAGTGAAGACACGACGGTAAGTCGATCTAAGTACATCGACTTCAGCTAGGTTATTCACGGAGCTGAAGTTGCGTAACTTGGATCGATCCCCCCCGGTGTAGACTGTGCTAGGACAGAAAAATTATTCCATTGGCCTAGCTACCGCCTTTTGGGGAGATGACTTAACTAGGCTGACAGGAGTGGCCCTCCTGTCGATATAGGTAGTGTCTACACTGAAGTGTTACAATAGCACAGTTGCAGCAATGCAGCGGCACCGCAGTAGGGTTTCAAGTGTAGACAAGCCCTCAGTCACTTAAATCAGGTGTTTCTAGCCTGGTATTCTTGTTCATCTGAGATCTCCAATTCAATGACACCTGCTTTTGTTGCTGAAATATCTTATCAGTAAGTTTAAGATTTCGTCACGGTTATTTTTAGTGAAAGTCACAGACAAGTTGTGGGAATAAACAAAAAGTCACAGAAGCCATGACCTGTCTGTGACTTGTACTAAAAATGATAGGGGGGGAAGAGACCCGGAGCCCCGCTGTGGCTGGGGACTTTGGGGCCCCCCTGCCACCCGCAGCATCTGGGAGATTTGGGGCTGCCTCACCGGCTGATAGCTCCAGCCCCACTGCACCAGGGCTGAAGGGAAAGTGTCATGGAGGTCTCTGAAAGCCACTGAATCTGACTTCTGTGACAATCTTATCCTTACTTATCAGCAAGTTTCATGGCCATTAAGCCTCAGTTTTAAGGATCTTTTACAAAATTTGCTGTCATTCAACTAAATTCCATGCTTTTAACTCCAGCCACACTTCATTGTCTGCCATTATGAAGTATCCTTCTGAAACCAGGAGATGGATAAACGATGTTCGTAAGGGCATGTCTACAATACAAACTTTTGCCTCCACAAGTTACGTTGGCATTAAGCCACCGCAGTTAGTATATTGCTTGTCTCTCTTCATATTTGGCTCCTTGCATCTGTGCTGCACGTATTCACCAGGAGTGGCTGTGCTGATACACAGCACGGTGCACGCCAAGTAGGTATCCCAGCGCGCAACCCGCCACCATCCAGCACACTGTCTTTTGGTAAGTTTTGGCAGAAACTAGTCATGCAGGGGTGACTGGGAGAAAGGGGTCACCTTACAAGCGTACAGCTGTCTCCATTCCATGTCATCTATAGCCCACAATTTTCACCTGTTTAAAGATCCTATGAACCAGTGCAGCCCTCCTCGCTCACCATCTCTGACACAATCATGGAGCCCGAACAGCTCTGCACTACTGTCATAAGTGTTGCAAGCACAAGACACACAATCCTCCAGTACTGGCATAGCTGCAAGAGGAGACGCGGGGAACGGGACGATTTGCTGGAGGGCAGATTGCTGAGAGACTAGCGAGAACCAATTCAGGATCGTTGGTGGCATTCATGAAGCAGCTGCAAATGACGGAGTGCCGCTTCTGGGCCTGAGAAACGAGCACTGAGCGGTGGGATTGCACCGTAATGCAGGCTTAGGATGACGAGCAGTGACTGCAGAACTTCTGGATGCACAAGGTTGCATTCCCAGATCCACGTGCTGAGCTTGCTCCAGGCCTCTGGCGTAGGGACACCAGAACGAAAGCTGCACTGACAGCGGAGAAGTGAATAGCGATTGCATTGTGGTAATTTGCAATGCTGGATTGCTACCAGTCAGTGGGAAGTCATTTGAGAGATGGAAAATCCACTGTGGGAGCCACGGTCCTACAAGTGTGCAGGGCCATTAACTGTCTCTGGCTATGCAGGACTGTGACTCTCGGCAAAGTGCAGGACACAGTGGATGGATTTGCAGCAATGGGGTTCTCAAACTGCGATGGAGTAAGAGACAGCACACACATCCCTATTTTGGCACCAGATCACCTTGCCACAGAGTATGTCATCAGAAAGGGCTACTTTTCTATGTTTATGTAAGCCTTGGTGGATCACCAGGGATGAGTCATCAACATCGAAGTTGGCTGGTCAGGGAAGGTGCATGACGCTTGCATCTTTAAGAACGCAGTTTTCTAGAAAGCTACCACCAGGTGCTCTCTTTCCCAACCAGCAGATTACCATTTGCACTGTTGACATTCCAATAGTGATCCTGGGGGCCCCAGCCTACTCCCAACTCGAAGTCATACACCAGCCACCTCAACAGCTATCAGCTCAGCAGGTGCAGAAGGACAGTTGGATGCACTTGTGGTAGCTTGAAGGGATGCGGATACTGTTTGGTCACAAGATTGAATCTCAGTGAAAAGACTATCCTAGCCATTACAGCCGCCCGTTTGTCCTGCATAATATCTGTGAAGGGAAGGGGGAAAGTTGCCAGCGGGGTGGAGGTAGAGTGGCTTTCTGCTGACTCTGAACACCGAGACACAAGGGTTATCAGATGAGCTCAATAAGGAACTCTACAGCTTAGGGAAGCTTTGGAAGAGCACTTGAAGAGTGAATCCCAGTAACGTGTTGTGGTGTACTGGGCTTTACCTGGACATGCTGTTTTGAGGCCTGTTAGGAATTGTGTGGTGCTTGGTGTACATCTATGAATAGAATACTGTCAAAGGAACTTAATTTTATAGTACTTGCTGTGCATTTATGATGATACTGTTTGTCACTGATCCTGAGTTGTGTCACTCTGTACAATAACAAGTAAGCAGGTGCTTTCAGCACCACTAGCTACTCTGCAGCATATGTAATTATTTTCCCAACAGAATTTTATTGAGTAACAAAACCAATGCAAAGAAAACTCTGTGCAATTTAAAAGCAAAAACATTAAAAACTGACTAAATTTATGGAACAGAACTTTACAAGGGGAAGGAACATTCACATCCATTTTAGCTACACATACAGCAACCATGGCTTTCACAGGTCAGTGCATGTGAAAGTGTAGCTGTTTTTAATGTCCCCTGACGTGGAGTGGTCAGAGTAGAGATGTGGGTCCCTGATGCCACATGGAATGTTGAGGGGAATATAGAGAAGTGCTGTAATGGAGTTCTCCCTGGACTGCATAGGGAAGCGAGCCCATGACTATTGAACCTTTAGGTCCATGAGAGTCTGTAACATCTGTGTGTGCTGCCGGAGATGCTCCATTGTGTCCTGGTGCATTTTCCTCTCCTTTTTCTCCACCTTTTTTCTGTCTGCTCTGTCCTCCTCCATACAGTCTGCAATATTCACCCTCCAGGCCCTCTGCTCCCGGTCTGATGCAGCACTGGCTTACATGATCTCGCTGAACATGTCATCCTGAGTGCTCTTCTTTCTCCTCTTTATCTGGCTCAGCATTTGGCAGGTATGGAAGAGCAATCTCTCACAGCCACAACAGCAGCAACTACAGATAAAACACACAAACATACCATTGTCAGTACAGTCACAACGGAAAGCAGAAGTTAAGATTCAGAACTCCCTTCCCTGCTCCCCCCCGCGCCCCGAAGTTTTAAACAAGACATGCTTATTGACACTTCTGCTTCAGAGCGCTTATGCATGGCACCACTCACAGAACTAGCCTTGGTGTGGAAAATGTAGGGGGAATGGCTCAGTTACATTAAACTATCACAAAAACAACAAGGAGTCCGGTGGACTTTAAAGACTAACAGATTTATTGATCCATGCATCTGAAGAAGTGGGTTTTTAATCCACGAAAGATTATGCATGAATAAATCTGTTAGTCTTTAAGGTGCCACCAGACTCCTCGTTGTTTTTGTGGATACAGACTAACACGGCTACCCATCCGATGTTAAACGATTAGTATAGAGAATGGAACTGAATACTGCAACCATTTTCCACACGCAGTAGTGATTTTAGCTGATATCTCACTCCTGAGGGTGACAGGCACAGAGAGCACAGCTGCTGCTGGTCCCAAAACACCTGGGCCCATCTGCTGCCAGCTTGTTTATTGCAGTGGTGCCTGCTGAAGTTATTGACTACTGGCATGGGAAACTGGGAAGGAAGAAATAAGGCTGCCACCCCCAGAACCCTTTGGGAGAGGATTGCAGAGTACCTCCACAAAAGTTTCATTGAGATCTCTCAGGAAGATTCAAGTGACATCCAACTGCTCTGCATGCCCCCCTGCCTAACTGTACAGGGGAATGCAAAGCAGACAACACCTCTGCCTCTCTTTGTTGTACCGCTACCACTTCTAGTATGAGTAAGTTAATGAAAAGTCCATAGCTGTGCCCTGTTAAGTTGGGGATGCCATCAGTACATCACTGTAACAGGAAATACATTTACACTTACCTGAGGTTCCTTCCCCTGCTCTGGGCTTGTCCATGCTCTACTGCCAGGACTGACTGGATTGCAGTGGAGTCTTAAACAGGTCCTGGCTCGCAGTGCAGCCGGACCCATCAGTCACATGTCCCCCATCCTCCTCCTCTTCTTCGCTGTTCAAACTAGGGGCCTGTGACTTGGGCTTCTCGGAGAGATCCATGGTGGTGTGCAGAGTGGCGGTGGGGTCTCTGCCAAGTAGGCATGCAGCTCTTTGTAAAAGCTGCAGGTCTGCAGCTCAGACTGGACCAACTGTTGGCCTCCCTGGCCTTCTGATATGCCTGCCGCAGTTCCTTTGCTTTCATGTAGCACTGCCGCTGCTCTCTCATATATGCCTTCTCCTGCATCCCATGCAATCTGCTCGTAGATGTCCTCTTCTCCCCACAGGCCCAGGAAAGCCAATATCTTCGGTCTATTCCAAGCCAGAATGCATCTGGAGCATGTAGCTGGCATGGTCAGCTGGGCAGTTACACACAACATTGGAGAACTGCTAGTTGTGCTCGTCAAACAAGACAATCAGGAAAATGCATTTCAAAAATCTGCAGTGCTTTAACAGGTTGGTGTCGGGGGGAGGCGTCCGGTCTCTGTGACCCCAGGCACTGAAATTCACAATTTTGACCAGAGTAGTTGGTTTCGGGCATTGTGAGACAGCTGCAGGAAGTCTGTTAGGGTTAACATAGGAAATGCGGTATCTACACTTGTACTGTGTTGACCTCAGTACATTGACCATGGCCCAATGCCACTTGGGGAGATGGTGTTACTGCATTAATGTAACAGCGTGCTTACCTAGGTAGGAGACAAATGTAAGTGTAGACACATGCACAACTAGGTTGTCACAAGGTGGCTTACATTGACCTAACGTTGTAGTGGAGCCTAGACCTCAATGCATGTACATTCTGGATGCCTTTTCAAAGCACTGGACCTGAGTGGACACAAGCATATACTTTATCCCTGTGCCTCCTATTTGTTCAGGCATTTGAGTTTTTACAATGGAGCATCTAAGCCTTTGAATAGCATGTGTTGTAAAGCTCTTCATCACCACCTCTTTTAATAACCCTGAAATGCTGCTAGCGACTGCATATTTACAAGATTCAGAAACTTGTTCACACCTTTGTTTCTACAGATCAGGATTACTGCTGGGTGCTGTTAACAGGACTGCCTGCCCTGACAGAACATTCTCTCCTTTTTAAGTTATGCAAAATACAGTAGCAGTTTTTGGATGAAAAGCAAATATACATCACAGTATGTTGCCTAAGTTCCATTTGTTTTAAAGAGTGCTGATCTTTATAACATTTGCAGGGGTGCTTACAGAGCTGGTTAGCTATGTGTATGTTTTGAGGAGTACTAATTCACAACACTATTCACTGACCATCACTGTAGTATGGCAGTTGTGTTCTTGGTAACATTCCAGGCCTTATCCACAACGGCAATTTTCAAGAAAACTTCCAGGAGTGGGAGCATTAGTGTAGACCAGCCTACAACATTTTGACCACAATTTGCGTTAGTACTCCCACCATTGTTACAACCAATGGAGATGTACTGGTGATGATGCAGTGATGGGAGGTTTCCTTCAAAACTGCCTGTGTAGATGCAACCTCAGGTACCAGCATTAGGTTGTTAAACAGCACTCTTACTACCATGTTCCAGAGTAGAGGCAACATAATTTATGAACATCTCTGAACTCTCTCATTGATGCTGAAAATAGTTTTCCACTGAATGTTAATGCCTGGTATGACTACAGTTCAAACTGTCAGTCAAGAACCATGCTTAGACCATTCTTGCTGGCAAAATATTAATGTAGTTTTCCTATAGCTTTTAGGGACCTTTGTATTAACAGCAAGACGCCCCCCCCCCCCGCCTTTTTTTTTTAAAACACTAGCCAGCAAGACCATGTTAGAAATCTGAAGTAAATACCACACTTCAGTTGCAGTCAGCTTTAATTTCCAGTATCTATGTGAATTTGTCAGATATCATCACGTAAAGGTTTTCCCGCAAGGAAATGAAGCACATTTTATTAGTCTTTAGTTTCAAGTGCCCAAATGACATTTTCAAATAATTCCACTTAACCATAATTTTCCCCTTTATTGCTATACGGTAGAACCTCAGATATGAGCATCAGAGCTGGTGTCTTACTGGTCAACTGGACAACCTGTGGAATTGAAAGTAAATCAATCAGGCAGCAGCGCAGACAAAAAACCCAAACAAAAAGCAAATATTGCACTGCCTTGGGGCTCTAGCCCTGGGGCTCAGGGCTTCGACCACAGGGGGTTGGAACTGCAGCCACAAGGTGGAGGGCTGCTCAGGGCTTCAGGTGGGGGCTCAGCCCTGCAGCTCCACTCCTGGTTTCCGCCTCATGTGGGGTGCTGGGCTTGGGGCTTCAGCCCCACAGCTCTGCTCTCGGCTTCAGCCCCACAGGTGGCGCTGGGGCTTTAGCTATGAGGGGAGCGCCTGTTTCAGCCCCAGCGCTCCCCCTGTAGCTAGAGCCCTGAGCCCCAGTGCTCCCCCCCAGGTCTAAAACCTTGAACCCCAGTGCTCCTGTGGGGCAGAAGCCCTGAGCCCCCTGCCCAGAGCCGTGGCACCCCGAGTGTCAGAAGCCTTCCATCACCAGAGTATCTATGTACTGTATCTCTCTCTGAATTCATAGGCCTTGTGCTTTTACTCAATTCGCTTTACTTCTTACTACACCTTTAGACAAATATAAAAGAGATAACAAAAAAAAGCTAATCCCAGCAAACCAGCAGTCACAAACAGGCTCCCAAGCAGAACAATGCAACCTAACATGAGGGCTCAGAATGCATGAATGCTGAATGCACTACATAATAGAAACTTTCCAAAACTAAAATATCAAGAACCACAAAAGCCCCATTAAAAACAAGCATCTAGAAAGTTCAACGTTTGTCTCCCATATACCACTTCAACTTCTCATAAAAGGTACAGAACCTTAAGAAAAAAGGTTGAAGCTGCTTTGTGAGGCAGTCCGTTCCCTACAGTTTTGAGATGCAGATTAAAATCCCTGAAAGCGTCTCAGCTCAAAGCAGTGAGAAGTGGAATTCAATGTTTTAGTAGCATATTTGCTCAAGAGGTCAGTACTAGTAAGCATAAGATCGTGGGGGTTTGTATATTAGACTTTAAGGAAGTTGCTCTTTCTCTGGAAGACTCATATGTTGAAACATCACATACAAGATGCAAGTCCTCACACCCTCATAACTGGCACTACTGTTAATTCCCAACCCACTGCCAAATTCCAGAGAATTATGTTTCCAAGGGCGAAGAGCATCTGACGTCTAGCAACACAAAAGCCTTTCCCAAATCTTTTTTAGGAGAGAATTTCTTTGCAAGCTGTTTATCAAGGGTTTTGATATGTACTGTGATGCCCAAAGTATCAGTGACATTTTGCTAACAAGTTTCATCTCTCTCCACTTCTCAAACTAAAGAGATGTTTGGCTCCTTTCAGCTGCATGCCACTATTTTACTTTGATCTACAACCCATCCTGGACAATGATCCCTCACTTCACAGACCTTGGGAGGCAGGCCAGTCCTCACCCACAGACAACCCGCCAACCTTAAGCATATTCTCACCAGCGACCACGCACCACACCATTACAACTCTAACTCAGGAACCAACCCATGCAACAAACCTCGATGCCAACTCTGCCCACATATCTACACCAGCAACACCATCACAGGACCTAACCAGATCAGCTACAATATCACCGGTTCATTCACCTGCACATCCACCAATGTTATATATGCCATCATGTGCCAGCAATGCCCCTCTGCTATGTACATTGGCCAAACTGGACAGTCACTACGCAAGAGGATAAATGGACACAAGTCAGACATCAGGAATGGCAATATACAAAAACCTGTAGGAGAACACTTCAACCTCCCTGGCCACACAATAGCAGATGTAAAGGTAGCCATCTTACAGCAAAAAAACTTCAGGACCAGACTCCAAACAGAAACTGCTGAGCTCCAGTTCATTTGCAAATTTGACACCATCAGATCAGGATTAAACAAAGACTGAATGATTATCCAACTACAGAAGCAGTTTCTCCTCCCTTGGTGTTCACACCTCAACTGCTAGCAGAGCACCTCACCCTCCCTGATTGAACTAACCTCGTTATCTCCATACTGATTTATACCTGCCTCTGGAAATTTCCATTACTTGCGTCTGATGAAGTGGGCATTCACCTATGAAAGCTTATGCTCCAATACTTCTGTTAGTCTTAAAGGTGCCACAGGACCCTCTGTTGTATTTTACTTTTGTTAGCTTAAATTAATTTAGCTTAAAAGTAGGTTCAGGTTTTTTTTTTGAATGACACTACAGTTTTGAAAGCAAATTTATTCTCATCACAACAGAAACTATCCCATTCTGTGTCTGCAGAGGAAAGCCAACGCTCAACCATCATTACATTAAACAGTCAGACATTTGAGAATCAGGCCAGAAATGAACATGGATCAATAATTAAATCCTACCAAAGCAGCCTCACTTTGTTCTAGCTCCTAACAAACAGGAGTGCATCTCTCTCTGGATTGCCCAAACCTACTCACATCCAGCTTCTCTCTACAGATGTCCCAAAAGACAGCCCTTGACCAAAACCAAATTAAGAACCTTTTGTTGCTCACACAGTATTGGATAGGACAATTCAAGGATACAAAAGCACTTCATATTTATGTTTGACTTAAAATAGAAGCTATTTTTCTATAACAAACAGAAATTTGAAGTTGAAAGAATCACTTCTTTTCAAGGGTTTGTTTTTTCAAGAACTATGAATTTTCTCAATAGACACCTTATTGAGCCTGGAAATTCCAAGTTAAAGTTCCCCATTTAAAAAAGAAATCCAAGATACCTGTAAGTACACAAATGCACAGTTAACTCAAACCACCTTAACTCTGCCCTCCTTTCATAAGGGAATCATGTAAACAACCAAAAGTTGAGAAACATTATCCTTTCATCACCTGGTTTCATTTTATCACTGACCTTAAAGACTTTAATTACCTTTTAATTATACAGCTGTTATGCAGACTGCAGTCTTCTTTAAAGTAACAAACAGTCCATGTATAATAGATCCTTTTAACCTTAACTCCAGGTTAATTTTTTTTTTAATTAAGAACTTGCTTAGGTTTTTATAAACATTTAAGAACTGATCAATGACAAAAGTCCACGTGGACCCTGCAAGCCACACAGGGATGGGCTCAATTCTTTCCAAGATAACCTCCTGCCTCCACTGTGTTACTATCTCACCCTTCAAGTCCGCAGCACTGCTATGGGTACCCGCATGGCCCCACAGTATGCCAACATTTTTATGGCTGACTTAGAACAATGTTTCCTTAGCTCTCGTCCCCTAACGCCCCAACTCTACTTGCACTACAGTGATGACATCATCATCATCTGGACCCATGGAAAAGCCGCCCTTTAGGAATTCCACCATGATTTCAACAATTTCCATCCCACCATCAACCTCAGCCTGGACCAGTCCACGTAAGAGATCCACTTCCTGGACACTACAGTGCTAATAAGCGATGGTCACATAAACACCATCCTATACCGGAAGCCTACTGACCGCTATACTTACCTACATGCCTCCAGCTTTCATCCAGATCACACCACACGATCCATTGTCTACAGCCAAGCTCTAAGATCAACTGCATTTGCTCCAACCCCTCAGACAGAGACAAACACCTACAGGATCTCTATCAAGCATTCTTACAACTACAATACTCGCCTGCTAAAGTGAACAAACAGATTGACAGAGCCAGAAGAGTACCCAGAAGTCACCTACTCCAGGACAGGCCCAACAAAGAAAGTAACAGAATGCCACTAGCTGTCACCTTGAGCCCCCAACTAAAACCTCTCCAGCGCATCATCAAGGATCTACAACCTATCCTGAAGGACAATTCCTCACTCTCACAGATCTTGGTAGACAGGCCAGTCCTCGCTTACAGACAGCCCCCCAACCTGAAGCAAATACTCACCAGCAACCACACACCACAAAACAAAAACACTAACCCAGGAACCTATCCTTGCAATAAAGTCCATTGCCAACTCTGTCCACGTATCTATTCAAGTGACCCCATCATAGGACCTAATCACATCAGCCACACCATCAGGGGCTTGTTCATGTGCATATCTACCAATGTGATATATGCCATCATGTGCCAGCAATGCCCCTCTGCCATGTACATTGGCCAAACCGGACAGTCTCTATGCAAAAGAATAAATGGACACAAGTCAGACATCAAGAATTATAACATTCAAAAACCAGTCGGAGAACACTTCAACCTCTCTGGTCACTCAATTACAGACCTCAAAGTCGCAATACTCCAACAAAAAACACTTCAAAAACAGACGCCAACGAGAAACTGCAGAATTGGAATTAATTTGCAAACTTGACACCATTAAATTAGGATTGAATAAAGACTGGGAGTGGATGGGTCATTACACAAAGTAAAATGTATTTCCCTGTGCTAATTTCTTTTTCCCCTACTGTTACTCACAATTTCTTGTCAACTGTTGGAAATGGGCCATCCTGATTTTTCTCCTGAAGATAATATCCCACCTTAACTGATTACTTTCGTTATAGTTAGTAATGGCAACACCCATTTTTTCATGTCCTGTGTATATATATATCTTCCTACTATAGTTTCCACTGCATGCATCTGATGAAGTGGGTTTTAGCCCACGAAAGCTTATGCTCAAATAAATTTGTTACTCTCTAAGGTGCCACAAGTACTCGTTCTTTTTGCTGATACAGATTAACATAGCTACCACTTTGAAACCTCTTTCCTGTCTACCAACATGGTTTCCTGACCACCACTTCCCCCATCATGTTCACCTACATCTGGGACATGCATGCTTTGCAAAGCACTCCATGGGGTCACATCTCCACTATATGCTTTTTAGCCATGCAAATTTCATGATGTATGTGAAAAATCACAGCTAATATCTAAATAATTGTACTCAACATCCACAAACAAAGTGTGTGGCTGATTACTGGCTGAAGTTCTATGGCCTATGTTATACAGGTCAGATTACATTATCACAAGGGTCCTTTCTAGCCTTAAAAATGTATGCCCTTCAAAACGATGAGGTTAGCAGCTTATTTGACAAAGTGAATGAGAAACTGCCTGCTTAATCCCCCCACGGAAAGCTTCCGGCTCCGCACTAGCAAGCACGCAAGGCATGTCCGAGACCATGTAATTAAAGAGGCTGGGGCAGTCCGTGAAGCTTTTCCTGCAGGCAGGTGCACTGACTCATTCACAACTCACTTCCCGTGTTCACCAATCACCAGCAGCGTCCAGCAGTTCGCTCTGCAGAAGCAGTAAATAGCTAACCCCCGGCCCGAAGCGCCGGCGAGCCAGAGCACCAGGGGGCAGCATGGGGGCCGCGATGGGCAGAGCGATGCCCCTGCTCCCGGAGGGCTCCGCGTGGGCGCTGTGCCCGCGCCGTGGGCTGCAGGGGGAGGCCCCGTCCCGAGGGCTGCACAGCTCCGGGCCCCGTGCACGGACGGTCCGCGAGCTGCAGCCCCTGGCAACGCCCCCCCCGGGGCCCGGCCCCTCGCCCAGGGTCCTGCCCAGCCGCGTGACCGGCGCCCGATAACCGCCCCGGGTGGAGCTCCCGGCCGCGCTCCAGCTCCCGGGGGCAGGGCCCGGCTCAGCCCAGCGAGCCCCTAACGGGAGAGGGGTCGGCGGCCTCCGAGGCCCCGCCGGGGAAGTCGAGGCCGGGGCGGCCCGGCCCCCTCACACCGCTCCCCGCTCGGGCCGCTGCGGGGCCCCAGGCCCGGCTCCCCCCGGGCCGGCACCTGGAACTGCAGCAGCCTCTCGGTCTGCTCCGCCGTCAGCTCCCGCTCCTCAGGCGCCGCCATTTTGCTGCCGCCTCTGACCCGCCGCTCCGTCACTCTCCGGAACTGACGTACCACGCCGCCGCACTTCCGGCCTGGCGCTGGCTAGCCGGCCCCATGGCCAACGGCCGCTTCTCTGGGCCAGCCGGAAAGGGCCGAGCGCCATCCGGAGATGCCCGAACCTCACTCGGGCTTGTCCGGAAATACCCGAACCCTGGCACATGTTCCACGTGACCTACCAGCGGAGGTTCCCGAATTTGGGACGAAGCTGTCCGGAGATGCCCGAAGGCCGTGGTCACTTGTGGACTGCCTGGTTCGAATCTGGCCTCCGGCCACAGCCTGGCCCTGGCCCTTCCATGACCATGGGACTGGCTTCCTGGGGCTGCAGCCTCAGCTCCATGCGGGCACAGCTGCCAGGCTGCACAGGCCACGGACGGGGCCAGCTCCCCGCACTGCATTCTCCTAGGCCTCGGCAACCTTTCTCCTCTCTCCTGGGACACAGGACAGGCCCCAGGTCCCAATCTCTGACTGTGCTCAGCACCAGGTGCTGCAGAGGGAGATGCCAGAACCCGCCGGGGCCAAACGGGGAGAATCTGTCCCTGCCATCCCCGCCCAGGTCTCCTCCTGGTTTCAAATAGTGTCTGGTTTAATCTTGAAACGGGGTTTAACATTCCTGCCCCAATGTCTGCTGGAGCATTCACTTGTCACCGGGGATAGGCTTGTTTTGACAGTCCCTGATCATTTGTGTGAACTTCGTTCTTGCCCTCTGCTGAATTCACATCCCCACACCATCTCCCGCCACCCCCAATGGCCACCCCCCTGTACATACACACATCACCCCCCCTTCACACCGGTAACAAATGGCACCAGATAGTGGGCGATTGTCCCCCTCCAGTACACTCCCTTACAGATCTGCAAACTGGTGTCCTCGCCTGGATTCTTTGCCAGCATCAGGGTTAGTGAATGTGAGGAACTGTCAAAGCAGAGGGCTTGGGAGAAACTGAGATTATGGGCAGACTCCCAAGAACACCCCTGGCTGCACACTCCAGAAACATCCCAGAGCCATTCTGGAGTGGCAGGGCTGACGTGGCGGGGGGTATCACACCACACACACACTTTCTGGGGACCCAGGGGAGGAGAAGGGTGGTGTTTCCATGTTTGGTAATTAATGCCTCATGGTGCCCGCTTGTCTCCGCACTGACCAGCTGTGGCTCAAGGTGAGATGGGTAAAAACTGTCCCAAGACATTACAAAAAATGTGCCGGGCCAAATTCAGAAGAAGGGAACAAACTGAGCCCTGTGCAGGTTTGAGCAGGTAAGCGCACGTCTGTTTCTTAGGGCACAGGCTCTGCCGAGTCCGGGAGTCTATTTCCCGATGTGCCCGGTCACGGGCATCCTGCAGGAATCCTGGCCTGGTCCCCCGGGGCCTTCGGGGCTTTGCAGATCAGGGCCCTGCCCCAAGGAGCGTCCCGGGGCTCCGGGAAAGGAGCGGGTGGCTGCGAAGTGAGGGGGGGTCTCTTCCGCACCCCTCCGCTGTGTCTGCGGGTTCGGGGGGCAGGCCGGGGGCTGGGAGGCTGCTCGCTATGGGGAGCTGGTGTCCCAGCGGCCCGCACCCGCTCCACCCCCCCAGCGCCCGCCTGGGGGTCCCCTCTAGGGCGCCCCGCCGCGGCCCTGCTCCGCGCAGGGTCCCGCCTTAGGGGGACGAGCCTGGCCCACCTCGCGGGCGCTGTGCTCCGCCCCAGAGCAGGCCGGGCCCCCCGCGCCCCGCCCGCCGCCTGGCTCCGCCCGCCCGCCCGCCGCAGTGACAGCCGCGCCCGGGCCCCGCCGCCCCGTCCGCCTCCCGGCTCCGAGCGCTGCGCGGCGGCCAGGCAGCGCCCGTGCTCGTCCGGCGGGGCCGCCATGGCCGACGACTTCGGCTTCTTCTCGTCGTCGGAGAGCGGCGCCCC